AAGTGATGTTCTATTCATCTCTGTGTTCCCATTACCCAGCCAGACCTTAATCAAAGATTGTGGAAAGGGTGGATTCCTAACTTTCGTCCAAAACCTTTTGAGGAACCTCTTTCAACACCTCTACCCCCTCCACTTCCTAGAACTCTTGCCCTACCCTACTCCACATCCTCCACAGGATTCTGAGCCTCCTTTATTTATTCTATCTTCAGTCTGGACTGAGAGCATGCCCACTTCTTTCCTGTTCATCTAATGATCCCTCTGTCCAACCCAATCTCATCCCCTATATTGGCAGAAAGCTCCCCAGGGGATGGGGGTGTGTGTAAATCATTGTTACTTCTCTCCACAGACCCTGATACAAAATCTTGGTTATTTGACATTGAGTCAATGAAGTTTGCTGATGACCCAGGCCAAATTATCCTATTCTTCTCCTTCTACCTTTATACCACTTTATGCTTTGCACATGATGAGATTGCTAGGGTCTATTGGAGTTTGCCCTCCCTCAGCATGTCCTCAAAGAACTCAGTCTCCATTTTGTCTCCAACACTGAGCCATTTTCTTATACATAGCAAGTATTCAGAAATGTGCACTCAGACACTTACCCTGCCCTCAAGCTTACAATTTAAAAGGGGAAATAAATATGCATATTATTCTAGAGTACACAGTGAAGGATGTAAATACAGATAAAGTGTCTTGTGCATCTTGTGGCCTGCAAACAACATGTTTTCTATAAATACTTATGGAATTTCTGGATGAGCAATTCTAGTGGTCTTCAGAAAGATATAATTTCACTTTGAGGACGGGATGGCTTTTGAATAGAGCTCTAAAGCATATGTAGGACTTTGGCAGAAAAGGAGAGATAGAGGAATAAAAAGAATGTATTCCAGGCTGAGAGAAATTCCCCACCTGTTTGGGGAATTGGAGAGAATAGACTGGAAAGGAAGGTTGCAAAAGGTGGAAGAAGGTCTTGGATATTACACCAGGAGAGTAAACTTCATTTGTCAGTAAATATAAATTTTTGACAGTTTTTGAGCAGGAATATGACAATCAGAGCTTTACTTAGGGAGATTCATCTGGAAGTCCATGGCTGTATTCCTGACACTACCTGGTATATAGTAGACCTTCATAAATATTTTGAATGTTTAGAACCACATTAGGAGTTGTCATTTATTGATGTAGATTTGTATGAAAATAAAACCATTTGGATCTGGATCTGAGATATATATTTTTTTTTTCAGCTTTTTTTTTTTTTTGAGACAGAGTCTCACTTTGTTGCCTAGGCTAGAGTGAGTGCCATGGCGTCAGCCTAGCTCACAGCAACCTCAGACTCCTGGGCTCAAGCGATCCTTCTGTCTCAGCCTCCCAAGTAGCTGGGACTACAGGCATGCGCCACCATGCCCGGCTAATTTTTTCTATATATATTAGTTGGCCAATTAGTTTCTTTCTATTTATAGTAGAGACGGGGTCTCGCTCTTGCTCAGGCTGGTTTTGAACTCCCGACCTCGAGCAATCCGCCCGCCTCGGCCTCCCAGAGAGCTAGGATTACAGGCGTGAGCCACCGCGCCCGGCCATGGATCTGAGATATATATTTTAAATTTTATTTCTATTTCTTTATTTTGAGACAGGGTCTTGCTCTGTTGCCTGGTCATTAGGGCAATGGTGTCATAGCTCTCTGCACTCTCAAATGCCGGTTCACACAGTCATCCTACCTCAGCCCCGCAAAGTGCTTAGGATTACAGGCGTGAGCTCGGCCCAGGAGCTGGTATTTTCTAGTTGATAAATAAGCACATAAGTTCATACTTCACCTTTCTCTCGTATGCTCAGTTTGTATTCCTGTTCCACTTATTATCATCCCCCACTGTGATAACTCCCATAACATAGGAAACAAAAGTCCACTTTCCTATATTTCCCCCATTATTTGAATGCTTCCCTAGAATAGAAAGTCATGTAATCTAGCCCTCTTTCACATGACAGTTTGTCAAAATTTGTGTACAGTCAGTATGTACACAAAAAAGGTTTCTCTTTTCCAGGATAAATATCCCCAGCCCCTTCAATTATGTGATCTGTCTATCACCATCCTAGACATGTCTCTGGAATTAGCCAAGTGTAGCAGTGTCCCTTAAAAACATGACATCAGTACTGAGCGATGAGTCCAGAAATGTCTGGAAGTAATCTATTTCTCTGTCCTGATCTACTTAACTAGACATCTGCTACACAACACTACCTTATCTATGTATGGTACTTCATAATTTTTTTAAAAACATACTTCAGGCACATTTTCTTTTTCCACATCTCTCACTTCTATCCCTTCCTAGTTCAGTCCCTCCTCACCCCAGGCCTGAATCATGTGTCTTCTTTTTTAGTTTCATTGCCTGCTGATGCCAGACCTTGTTCTCCTTGTGCCATGTTGTCATATGCAAGTTAGCAAACACTCACTGAGCATCTGTGGTGTGCATGCCCTGTGATCATGCTTCAGAGGATGTTCCTGAATAGGACGTGGCCTGACCCATAAACTATGGGGAGCATTGTTCATCCAACTACAACACCACAACAATGTGTAGGGGGTGGCAATGCAGTATGGATATAGCTTCAGGACTGAGGATGGAGAGAGGCATTCCAGAATAGGTTTGTGGAGATGGCATTTGACTAACCTTTTACAAATTGGTGGAATTAGAACAGCAGTTTTCCAGGCCAAGCACGACAGGCCTAAGTGTACACTGATTTAGAAGACCCCTGAACAGAGCTCTAGATATGTAACAAGATGAATGGTACTAAATGACCTCAAAAAGAAGATTAGAGCAAATAAAATGAAGGACCTTGAGGACCATGCTTGGGTGGCTGTTCTCATGATAGAGGGCTACTGCATTTGGTCAAGCTCCCAAAGGCATTTCCAGAAAACACCACTATAGCACTCCCAGTGGAAAACGACATAAAAGTCAACATTTGGACAAGGAGTTCAACCAACAAGCTCTTGGAGAGGCAGCTGGCAAGCAGACCAGGAGTCCCCCTATCCCTGGCAGTGCAACCTTAGGTGAGTCATTAACTTGTGGGCTCCTCGTCTGAAATATGGGAAAAATGTCCCCTGGCAGGGTTCTGAGGATTAAAGTAGATAATAGCTATAAGTCTGGCCTCGCTGTAAGAAGTTACTAGCTTACAGCTGGGCCGGGTTGGGGCCGGCCGTGGCGCAGGCAGCGCGCGAGCGTGCGCCAGCAGCGGGGATCCGGCCTCAGCGCGCTCGCAGACTGCGGGGCCGGTGGCGGGGTGCCGGGGTGGGCGGCGGCCGAAGGGGCGGTCAGGGATTGGTTAAGCTCGGGAGGAGGGTGGGGCCTGGCTCGGGCAAGAGGCGGGACTGCAGGAGCCTCGGCCCTCGCTGCTGGCCTCGCCCCCTTTCTGGAACTCCAGCCGCAGCCCGAGGGCCGTCGCCGTGCGCCCCCGCGCCGCCCCGCCTGCCCGCAGCGCGCGGGGAGCCGCCCGGAGCGGGACGGCCGCCCGAGGGCCCGCGCGCCGCCAGCCCTTTCCTCCTTCGCCGCCGCTGAGCGGCTCCCGCGCGGCATCAGAGGACCCAGTCGGCGACCGGTGAGGGGACCGACGGGCCGGGAGGGCCAGGGTGGCGCAGGACAGCGGTCCTGAGCTGGGGCCGAGCTGTCCCCGCGCCGCCGGCGGCCGTGTGCCGCGGTCGGGAACGCAGCCCGGCAGCGCGTGACGCGAAGACGCGGCGGAGCGAGCGACCCGCCGGGACACGGCCCGGCCGCGCGGCCGCTCCTCCCAGCGCTGCCTCCGCCGGTCCTCCCGGGTGACCTTCGGGGCTGGCGGCTCCAAGACGGATACAAGGGCAGCGCCAGGCACCGGGCTCGGCGTTCCATGCCCCCCACTTCCCACCACGGTTTTGGTGTCCTGCTTGGCCGCTAGGTGGGCTGGCGCCTGGGCGAGGGACGGGGTGCCCCGGCGCGAGAAGGGGTCGCCCACGGGGGCCTGCCCGCAGCTCCTCCCGCGCGCCGACCAGCGCTCCAGGATTGGCTGCGCTGTGGGGAAGCAGGCCTGGAGGTCGACCTGCTTAGGTGCGACAGTACTCATCCGCGAGGAGTGGGGTCAGCTCCTATTAAGTACCACGCACCAAGTATTAAAGTGAGTACTCGGCCCCCCCTTACTCTTACAGCTCACAGTCGCGGAAGTGGGGCTGCCGAAGGCCCGCAGCGTAAGGAGGGAAAGGGCTTGCAGGCCGTGTAGTATGCTGGGAGTTGGGGACAGGAGTGAGGCCCCTTATTCAGAGTCGCTCTAAAGGATTGTCCTGAGGAGAGTAAATCTTAAGCACTGGACAACCGCAGTTCTCAAACTTACCAATATTTTGGCCCTCTCTCTTTTCATATGAAACATTATATAACAGCTTCCTTTACTAGAGTTTTCCCAGGCAAGGGGACACCCTCAGTCTCCTGTCCAAGGTCAGACACCTAGTGATGGGAAGAACCAGAATTTGGATGCTTGCCTCTCTGGTTCCTCTAAACAGATGGCAGTTTGACTCTATAAAGCAAAGCAGAGTATTTGCAGTTTACGCAGTAGGAGAGTTATGGAAGATAAGGTGACCTAGAGAGAGGCTTCCTCTTCCAGAAACCTTACCTTTGGGTGAACCGAATTCCGGACTAATATGCCATTTTAGAAATGCATTGTGTATGCCTGATGAATGAGTGGTCAGTTAGGAAAAAAGGCATTGAGTACCTATGTGTGTCCAACTCCTTGCTACGCCCAGGGAGGGTGCAAAAGACCTTAACATCCTTTTTATCCCTGATCTGGAATGCTCTCGCCACTGAGTTTTACCCATGTGTCAAAGGGACAGAGGATAAACTCCATGTATGTTCTCTCCCGACCTACATCCATACCTTTTCCATACTTCACAGGAAAATATTTGTGAAACCAAAACTTCCAGAAGAATGTATTTAGATCCTGATCAGAGTTGAGCCCATGGGGTGGGAGCGAGCTGTCCTATTTCCACCAGCTCCTTAAACATGCCAGACTGGATCTGAAGCTGGAAGAAGCAACTTCTTTTGAAGTACTGGACCTTGTTTCTGCTATGGGGGAGAAGAAAGCAAGGTGTTTATTCTGGTGCTTTGAATTCCATTCCCCATCCTCACCTCCTAGAGTAGGGCTTAAATCTTTCCAGAGTGTATGGGAATCAGTGTTTCTGTTACTTTTTTTTTTTTAAGATTCTGTCTTAGAATCTCGCACTGTTGCCTGGGATGGAGTGCAGTGGTGCCATCACAGCTCACTGCTACATCAAACTCTGGGCTCAAGCGCGCGGTCTTCTGCATCAGCCTCCTGAGTAGCTGGGACTATTAGTGTGCACCACCATGCCTAATTTTTTCTATTTTTCACAGAGAAGGGGTCTCACTCTTGCTCAGGCTGGTCTTGAATTCTTGATATCCTCCCACCTTAGCCTCCCAGAGTGCTAAGATTACAGGGGTGAGTTACTACTGCATCTGGCCTGTTACTTTTACTGATTGATTCAGAATAAAGCTGAGTAATGGCATGAGAGGGGACATGTAGGGTGGTAGGGGGAGCCTTTTAGAGACAGCATCATTTGAGAAAGTCCTGAGTAAAGGAGGGAAAGAGCTTTCTCGGTGGAAGGACTTGGAGTGGAGGACTTGGCCCCAGGGTAGACTCCTCAGGGCCAGGGAAATTTTTCTACTCCATACCCTTCCCGAGTGGGGAGTAGATGATTTGTTTCTATCTGGTCTGGATTTCAAGATGTCTTGGGGTGACACAATTCTGGAGACAAGAGCATCACTCAGCTCTCAAGGGACAAGGATTCAAGGAGAAGGGAGCAGAAGAATCACCTCTCCTGATACAGCTACCCCCAGTTCCTGCCTACTCTTCTAATAGAGATAGTTCTGTTTCCTGGGCCAGGGCCTAAGATTGACACAGTGTGCACAGACTAATCCCCAGGGCCCCAAGCAGTGGTCCCTGGGGCCAGCATTCCTCCCCTTTGGACCCTGGCTACTCAGTACTTCCCACTGAACCACATAGCCAGGCCTGGCCCTGTTGCTCAGTGAGCTGGGGCCTCTGGGAAGGGGTGGGGACTGCCCGGAGAGAGTGAGAGGCTACCAGGCTTGCTGCCTCCTCCTGTCCTCAGATCCGCCTGTGCACTTGTGCTGGACAACCCACATGGGAAACTCAGGTCACATGGGGGTAAATGATAACACCCACCTTAAAGGACCAGTGGGAGGATGAAAGGGGGATGTACATACAAACATATGAGAATTGTCACATATTGATGCTAGTAGCAACTGAGATGGTTCCACCCACAGAGTAGCAGTGAGAGAAGGTGTTGCATAAGTCCAAACCCCAAGTCCCAACCAGGTGTAGATTGGCAGTACAGATATCTACTTTCCAAAAGAGCAGGTAGACTCCTCTGGAGGGGGTGGCTAGGGGCTGGGGTCTTGGGAAATGAAAAGAAGGGTCTCCTGCATGTTTACTAGGGCTCAGAGGGTCAGGGAGAGTGATCTACCTTTTCCCCACCAAAGCCCTCCAGGGGCTGTCAGGTGGGCCAGCCTCCCTTTGTATACTGTTCCAGAATTTGCAAAGGCTATTTGGACAAGCACTATCCAATAGAACTAAAATATGAACCACATTTGTAATTTTAAATTTTCTTAAAAAATGGGTAGTATTTAATTTTTAACCTAATATATCCAAAATATTGTCATTTCAACATATAATCAACATTAAATATTAATTAAATATTTTACATTTTTTTAATACTAAGTCTTTAAAATGAGGAATGGACTAACCCTTACAACACATCTTAATTTGGACCAGCCACGTTTCAAGGGTTCAGTTGCCACTTATGAGTCTTGGCTACTATAGTGGACAGAACAGTTCTGAACAGTTCCCCATAGCACCATTCCCTGGTGCCCAGACTGGTTTTACCCAGCTGTGGCTTCAAGATGGAGGAATTCTAAGATGACTGCTTGCTTCTCGTGAATCACGACTTTCTGGGGTCTCTCATCACACCCCACAAATGCTGGCATGGCAGATTAGATAACCAGGGAAGAAAAATCTCTCACAGTAGATTGTTAAAAAAATGTTCTAAATCCTGATTAATTCTAACACTCCTGATATATAATTTGTGACCAGTTAGATATAGTATGAAATACCTACAATATCCATTAAGACACAAAAAAATAGGCCGGGCCCAGTGGCTCACGCCTGTAATCCTAGCACTCTGGGAGGCCAAGGCGGGCAGATCGCTCAAGGTCAGGAGTTTGAAACCAGCCTGAGCAAGAGCAAGACCCCGTCTCTACTAAAACCAGAAAGAAATTAATTGGCCAACTAAAAATATATAGAAAAATTAACCAGGCATGGTGGCACATGCCTGTAGTCCCAGCTACTAGGCTGAGGCAGGATTGCTTGAGCCCAGGTGTTTGAGGCTGCTGTGAGCTAGGCTGACACCATGGCACTCTAGCCTGAGCAACAGAGTGAGACTCTGTCTCCAAAAAAAAAAAAGAAACAAAAAATAAAGTGATATATGAAACTCAGAAGTTTATCTTGAATCTATTTTAAATGTTAATTTTTCCATTAGCTTACCTTACTTAGTACTTGTTTTTTGTAAGCATTAAGTGTGTGAAAGGTACTTCAATGGTTGGGATTTTCACTAATTCACATAATTATTGCCTTCATTCTTTCCAAGCTTTCCTATACTTATTTTTTTCCAAAGTAAAATAAAGTTGGTGGTATAACAACTTCAAAACTCACATTAGGCCGGGCGCGGTGGCTCACGCCTGTAATCCTAGCTCTCTGGGAGGCCGAGGCGGGCGGATTGCTCGAGGTCAGGAGTTCGAAACCAGCCTGAGCAAGAGCAAGACCCCGTCTCTACTATAAATAGAAAGAAATTAATTGGCCAACTAATATATACAAAAAATTAGCTGGGCATGGTGGCGAATGCCTGTAGTCCCAGCTACTTGGGAGGCTGAGGCAGGAGGATTGCTTGAGCCAGGAGTTTGAGGTTGCTGTGAGCTAGGCTAACGCCACGGCACTCACTCTAGCCTGGGCAACAAAGCGAGACTCTGTCTCAAAAAAAAAAAAAAAAAAAAACTCACATTAAATCAGGAGAGTGAGTAGGACAGCCTAGATATCACTGTTTATTGGCCCATAATTACTTTTTCTTTCAGGTTTCCACCTCAGTCACAGAACCTTTTTGCCGCCAGGGCAAGCTCCAGCATGAGGTGAGAAAGAGAAGAGAGACTTGAAGGGCCCAGCCTGACATTCAAGCACCATACCTGCATCCTAGTCAGAGTCTCTCTTACCCCTACCCATAATGGGAGGAAGTAGTATCTTTGTTTAGGTGCCATTTATGTGTGTATGTTCATGTTTGTGCATTTGTCTTAACCTTCCTTGGGCATATGCCCTGGGACAGTGGCCTGTGGGAGGGTGAGCGCCCAGAAACATGGTCTCCAGACACCCCCAGAGGAGGTGGAACACTCACTGGGGAATAAGCATTACTTTCTCAGGCAGTTGGGATCAGCCACTGAGTCTCCAGGAAAGGTTTTATTCTCATAGGGACAAACATTCCTGTGAACTGATGTCCAACTGAAATGAGCAGCCCAAGTGTCTGGGCTGAAGGTTTCATCTGGAGGAACCAAGGGACTCCCTCTAAAATCTGCTCTTGAGTCTGCAGAAGCACTCCTGTCCCTGCTTGCAGATTTTGCTTAAAAATCATCCTCTTTGAATAATGTCTGGGATTTAGACAAAAAAACAAAAATAGAGTGCTATCACAGATGAAATAAGAATGGCAAAATAGTGAGTGATTTGATACTATTCTCCCTAGTTTAGTCTTTTATATTTGAAAATGTCCCTTAAAAAACACCCTCCTCGGCCAGGTGTGGTGGCTCACGCCTGTAATCCTAGCACTCTGGGAGGCCAGGGCGGGAGGATTGCTCGAAGTCAGGAGTTTGAGACCAGCCTGAGCAAGAGCAAGAACCTGTCTATACTAAAGATAGAAAGAAATCAATTGGCCAACTAAAAATATATAGAAAAAATTAACCAGGCATGATGTCATATGACTGTTGTCCCAGCTACTAGGGAGGCTGAGGCAGGAGGATTGCTTGAGCCCAGGAGTTTGAGGTTGCTGTGAGCTAGGCTGATGCCACAGCACTCTAGTACAGAGTGAGACGCTGTCTCAAACAAACAAACAAAAATAAAACACCCTCCTCCAAGAAACACTTTTCTCTCTCTCCCTATTTCTGTCCTACTCAGCTGAAATTCACATTTTCTGGCTGGGCAGAATGGCTCACACTTGTAATCTCAGCAGTTTAGGAAGCTGATACAGCAGCTCAGGATTTTGAGGCTGCAGTGAGCTATGATCACACTATTGCACTCCACCCTGGGCAAGAAAGTGAGACTCTGTCTCTAGAAAAAAAAATAAATTCAGTTTCCCTCTTATTCACCCTACAGGACACAGCACATCTTGTTACAGAGGCACAAGAGGAAAGCATCCTTGCAGGCCATGTTTGCCCAGCGTGGAGGACAGCAGACTCTCCAGAGCCCACTCCTGCAGGTTTGCCGTTCTCAAGGCTTTTCCCACTCATCCCTATTTGCATCCAAAAGATGAGGATCCTGACTATGGGGGTATTTTATAGCTAAATTTTTGAGTATTTATGGTGAGAATTCATCTGCTAATAAGAAAATGCTGACCATTTTGCTTCCTCTCCCCCATCTGTTAGGTGACAGGGGCTCTAACAACTATATCTAATCTCCACTGTCCCACTCACTGAATTGGGCTGGGGACAGATCCATGGACCTTGAGGGAAGTAGTCACTGGTGAGGCCATACAGATGAGGAGGGCGTCGACATTTTTACTCTTAACGAGAGGGCATTTGAGGTTCTGTGCACATACTACAAAGGCAGACCCTGCTCCCAGTCAGCTGCCTGGAGTAACTTGTCAGAAGGATTCAAGGATACTACTTGAGATAAACAAGATAGCAGAGTAGATCTGGTCTTCATAAAGGAGTTTCTCTGCCAGTCCAGATACTCAGATCCTTGGGGCTAGAGCAGTGAAGAAAGTATGCGAATGTTAGCAAACAATTTGGATACCCTGAGCATTAGGAACGATGTCCCTTCCTTTCCCTAGCCCTTCCCAAAAATGTGAAAGGCAATTCTTGGATACTGCTAGCAACTTCAGATGATAGTTTTTTGTGAATTACGTACAGTTGAATGGCTTTTGATAATTCACCAAATGGGTCTTTGGTTGCTTTCTCAACTTTAGGGCTGTGTACTGGTATGGGGTAATTGTTTATCTGGTGTTGTCCAAAGCCAAAGAACAATATTTTGGGGTTTTACAAACATCTTTGTTTTCCCAGGCCCCAGCCCTTCAGTGACGCCATAGTCTGAGCCTTTCGCCCAGACTCTTGCGGCCCCCACCATCCCACCACCACCCCCTCCCCCCGCCTGTTTGTGCTTCATCGCATTGCCCTTTTTATCCTCTAGCCCAAGCCTGGCTGGGTTCTCAATAGCGACTCAGGAAACCTGGGAGTTAGAAAGTGGTGTTTGTCTAAGCCCAGGGATGTCTTCTCACTGACCCATCCCTCCTTGGTCATTTCCTAATGCATTCCCAGGTGGGGGTCCCCAGTCTATGGCCAGAAAACAGGCTGGGCACTCCCTTCCCTCCCAAGCAGTGTTGGTGTTTCCCACGCTGAATGTAAGCTCCCCTCTGGATCCATTCCTGCCTTGTTCTCCAGGACACCTGCAGTCTGTGCTCCTGCCCTTGCAGGTAGTAGGTACAAAGACACCCCCTATCTATTACTGGGACTCCTATGGCTTTGCTTCATCTTGGAGAAGGGAATCCAGAGATGGACTACTTGAGTAAGTCAGAGGAAATAGGGAGTTCACTTTCTTCCTTCCTTCCCTAAGACAGAGCTGCTGCAGCTGTTGCTGAGACTCACAGTGCAGGGTGAACCTGGCCACAGCCCGCCTCTGGAACAGCTGTAACGTCTGCCTTTGAGAGAAGAAATCCTGGAAGCCAGACCAGTTTTCAGGGCTTCTCCCTTTTCTCTGTTACCTTTCCCTTTACAGTCTTTAAGAAAAGTAAACATTAGCAGCAGTGGGAGGAGGTGGCCCCCAAAGTGTGAGTGGCACACTTCCCTGTGAGCCGCCCTCACCATGTTCTCCGCACCGGGGGCGGTGACGTCAGGAAGGCCCTACGCGTGCAGCGAGTGCGGCAAGAGTTTCCGCTACAGCTCCGTGCTGCTGCGGCACGAGCGTGCCCACGTCGGCGACGGCAGCGTCCACTGCCTGGAGTGTGGCGAGCGCTGCGCGCGGGCTGCCGACCTCCGGGCGCACAGGCGCACGCATGCGGGCCAGACCCTCTACATCTGCGGCGAGTGCGGCCTGAGCTTCAGCCACAGCGGCCGCCTGGACCTACACATGGGCATTCATCGGTGTCTGCGCAGCCGCACCTGCCTCTGCCGCATATGTGGCCGCCACCTCCCACACCTCCTGGCGCTACTAGTGCACCGGCGTCACCGACACCCGCCCGAACGGCCCCGCCGCTGCCCGCTGTGCGCCCGCGCCTTCCGACAGAGCGCGCTGGCATTCCACCAGGCGCGGGCGCACGCCCCGGGGACACCCTCCGCCCCTGCCGACCCGCCCCACCGCTGCAAACAGTGCCCACGGGCCTTCCGCAGCAGCACAGGGCTGCGGAGTCACGCGCGTGTCCACATGGTCCAGAGCCCCACACGCCAGCTACCCCTTGAGCCGGACACACACCAGTGTGGCGTGTGTGGCAAGAGCTTCAGCAAGAGCTCAACGCTAACGCGACACCTGCAGACGCACTCGGGGGAGAAACCCTTCAAGTGTCCAGCGTGCGGCAAGGGCTTCTTGGAGAGTGCCACGCTGGTGCGCCACCAGCGCACGCACACGGGAGAGAAGCCGTATGCATGCGGCGACTGCGGACGCTGCTTCAGCGAGAGCTCCACATTACTGCGCCATCGGCGCAGCCACCAGGGGGAGCGGCCACACGCGTGCGCCACTTGTGGCAAGGGCTTCGGGCAGCGCTCTGACCTGGTGGTGCACCAGCGCATCCACACTGGTGAGAAGCCCTTCCCGTGCCCCGAGTGCAGCCGCCGCTTCAGCGACCGCTCGGACCTCACCAAGCACCGGCGCACGCACACGGGCGAGAAGCCCTACCGCTGTGAACTGTGCGGCAAGCGGTTCACGTGCGTGTCCAACCTCAACGTGCATCGACGCAACCATGCTGGCCACAAGCCACACAAATGCCCCGAGTGTGGCAAGGCCTTCAGCGTCGCCTCCAAGCTCGCACTACATCGCAAGACGCACCTGGGCGAGCGGCCAGCGAAGTGTGCCGAGTGTGGCAAATGCTTCAGCCACAGCCGTTCGCTGTCCCAGCATCAGCGGGCCCATACACGTGCCCGTACCGCTGCTGCCGCCACCCAGGCCACAGCGGGGGCTGCCCTCGTCTTCGCTGGGCCAACTGAACAGGAAAAGCCAGGGCTCTTTATGTCCCAGTTGAGAGAGACTTGCTGAGGCGCTTCTCTGAAGGAGGTTGGGCAAACACCCACATCATGCCACAGAGACGGGGAGGTGGGATGGGGCAACTCGCAGATGCAAGTTTGGGAAAGGATAGTGTTGTGACCTGCGGCTTTTCTAGTTTCTGTTGGTGGTCCTTCACCTGCCGTGTCTCTTCACCCTCCCTGTCAGCTCTTGTCCCATCCTCAGTCCTTGCATTGTCCAGCTGGCTTCTCTTCCTCCTGAGTGTAGATGCAGGTACGTAGGGGGATTTCTCAGACTCCCTGTGTGCAAGAGCGCCCAGGTATTGATCTGTCCCATTACTGCTACCATGATCTCTGGTGTTTTCTTTGCCGTTTCTCTGCCTGTGTCCTGTCTTCTCTTGTCCCATCTCTTTATCCCAGCCTGCACCTCTCCTGTGTTTCTTCCCAATTCTTTCACTGTCCTGTCCCCTAATGATCACTGATTTGGCCAGTCACATGTCGCTGGCCCTGTGGTCATCTTGCCTCTTGGTTCCACCCATTAACCTTTCTCCCTCTGCTTCTGAGCGATGTAGGTGTGGAGGTGGGAGGTTATCAGGCAGGGAGGATGTATACACGCCTACCATGCCTGCCACCTGGCAGAGGGGGCCTGCCCATGTGAATGTGGACAGGTCCCTCAGCATGGCCATTCATCTGTCCCCAGGGCAGATCAAGGTGCCTCTCAGGACAGTGTTCTCCAGCCAGGTTGGGGACATTTGCCCTGAGACCCAGGCCAAAACCCCATGTCTACAGAGCTAGGCACCACCAAATGGAGCATCAGTATATCTCCAAATCTAGCTTGGAGCCCTTGGGAAACAGATTCCACACAAGGGAGTGGGCAGGATTGAAAATCCCCCTGGAATTGGCCAACAACCTTTTTGCTTAAGGCTGGTGAAATAAAGAGTTGTTTGGGTTCTGGATGCTAAGAACTCCCTTTGTCAAGCCTAAGGCTGCTGTCTTGACAGACTTTGGGAGTGATTCAAGAGCCAGGTCCTGTTACAGTTCCAAAGTCTCGTGCCCCTTCCCAAGGCAGCTCAGTGATCTTGCATGTAGGACCTCGAGATTCTATACTAGAAGGCAAGACTTCGGGGCCGACAGGTTTGGCTTCCTCAACTATTGGCCAAGTACAAGATGGCCTAGGATCAGCATTTCTGCTCCAGCCTGTCTGCCTGGGTGACCCAGGACTCTCCAGACTGTCACAGCCTGCTCTACTTGAATGTGAGGGTGGGTGTCCTACTCCACAGGAAAGGGCTCAAAGTGCCAAAGTGAGCCTGGAAAGAAATTGGGCCCTCAGGGTCAGAGCAGGTAAGGGCCTCCAGAGGGAGGAACAGGGCCTGCACCTATGCTGCCTTCTAGCACATTCTAGCAGAGCCTGCTTTCAAAGAGCTCCAAGAGTCCTGCACTTCAGATGCCAAAATACTTGCTCTGCCCACACATGCCCACATAAAACACTGTTTATTCTGTCCTTTGGAAAGACTAAGTAGTCCAGCTCCCCTAGATCCCAGTTTTGCCCCCAGCCTGTACTCCCCATCACCCTAGTTCCAGGGGACCACACATCTGGGCTCTCTCCTTGCTCCTTTTCTGTCCCTGGGGTCTGGCTCCCCAAAGCCAAAGCCACAAAAGAGCTTATTGCTGAGGGAGTAGGGTTGCAGCCTGAGGCGATAGAGAGGGCCGGGACCCCTTGGGCTCCGGGGCACAGATGCTGGGACAAGGCTCCAAAGGGCCACTGGGTGACTCTGGAGCAGGGAGCAGGGCCGGGTGACTTTTGCCACGGTGGGCTGCGACACTGTCTGGCTTCTCAAAGCACTTGCCGCAGAACTCACAGGGGAAGCGCAAGGCAGCCACTGTCTCTGCGTGCTTGCGCCGGTGCCAGTTCAGGGAAGCCTTCTGGCGGCAGGTGAACCCGCATATTTCACACCTGGAGCCAGGGACAGAGGGAAGGAAGAGGCCTCGGCCCATCTTGACTTCCCCAGGAGTTCCTTCTGCTTCCCACTGCCTGGGTGTCCTGCCTGCCTTGCTGACAGACCCCACTTCCTCCCCTCTGGCCTCTGGTCCCTGGCCCTCAGACCCCCACTCCCGCACTCACTGCAGGGGTTTTTCTCCAGTGTGGATGCGCCTGTGGATGACAAGGTTGCTGCTAGTGCGGAAAGACCGGGCGCAGAACTCACAGATGTAGTCCCGGGTGTCTGCAGGCACATGAAGGACACTCCAGTATCCATCCCCAGCCTGTGGCCCCTCCTCAGCCCACCCACCCACCATCCCCACAGGAGAGCACCAGTACTAGGTGTCAGGAGGCCTGGGTTCTAATTAGTTGTCCAAATCACAGAGCCTGTCTGGACCTCCTTCACCTGACAGGGTCATGACAATTGAGATATGAACACAGAGAATGTGATATCCAACCAAAAGACTCATTATTGTCACCCCACCCCTGCCCAAACCATTGAACTCCCAGTGGATGTGTACCTTCCCTCATCTGAGTCTCTAAGCTAGTTCTCTGCCATAGGAGACACAAAGAATAGAGAGGTGGGTCCTTATGTGTGGACTGAAGGTACCAGGCACAGCCAACAAGAAACCTGGAGTCAGGGACAGGAATTAAGAATGAAGTCCAAGGCCCAAGGACAGTCCCTAGCACCTGGAATCATTCACCCATTCTGTCTTGCCTATCCCACTGTCCCAGCCCCCATCAGTGGCCTGTGGAACTCTCTGTCTGTAGGTAGCCAGTCTCCTCTCCTCTTTCCCTGAACCTGTCTTCCCTACTAGTTCCAACAGCAACAGCCTGTTGCCCGTGGTCACTGCAGCACTAGCAGATCTTATAAGCTGCTGTGGTTTTTCTCCTACACCATCAGACCTCAGTGCCTACAGTAGAGAAGTTGTCTTTGCTTCTCATGGTGCCCTTTATACCTCCACCACCACCACCTCTCTGAAGACCCTGCCATCAGACTCCCCCCCAACACACACACTCTCACATCTGCAGCCTCTCATCCCTGGTCCCCATTACTCCTGGTCGATCCACACAGCTCTGGCTCCAGGCCCTCTACTCCTGTTTGCCACTACTCCTCCTGTTGCTTAGCCCCCAGCCTGCTGTTCCCTGACTCACTGACCTCATTCCCCACCACCCTCAGCCACCACTCCCAGGTCACACCCAAGCACAGCACCACCTTGGAAACTGCACTTTCAAGCATTCTTGTTCCAGCCAGGGCATCCTATCTTGGCCTGCTATAATAATCCCAGGGCCAGTGCACCGGCCCCACTGCTTTCCCTGCCCCCCCGTCCCCACTCAGGTCCATTTCCAAGGCTGTCTCTGTGGCTTTCCTTCACTCACACTACCAATCTGCCTGCCCCTCTCTCTCCCTCAGCTGTACCTGCTTGGTTAAAGCCCAACGCAGGATAAACACCATCCTTGGTCTTGCTCCAGGCCTGCCCGTGTGTGCCGAAGGGGTATAAACTCCCCCTTGGCCTCTCCTTTCATCTACAACCACAAGTTTTAAGGGGTTGCTCTGCATCTGCATTTTCATGGTCAGTTCATTCTTCTACTTTCTAGAATCCAGAAGACATTTCATATCACCTTCTCTTTTCACTGGCCTCCGACACCCCCACCCCACCATCCTCACTCAGCAATGCTCTCATTTTTAAGTCACCAAGAAGACAGAACGAACTGAAGAGAACACCACATCCTCTGCCCACCAAATCCATTAGACAACTTGCATCTGTGCCTACAAACGTAAATACTCAAACTGCACTCCTGGGGCTGCTCTCCGCCATGGCCCTTAACCACTTCGGTACGAGCGTCAACTATAGTCGACAGCCACGGATGAACTCACACTGCCAAGTGTCAACTTTAGCCGACAGCCGTGATATGACTTTTCTAATTTTTCATTTATCAAAATAAAATTGTGAACATTTAAAAACAATGTAATGAAAACATATGTATGTGACCTATTCTGATTTACATTACAAGTAAAGCTGCCTGTAAAGTAAAACAAGCTTTCAGTGCTTTCAAGCTTTCCTCATCACACAAGAGCAAAACGGATTCGTTGTCAATGCACAGCACAAAAAACTATCGTGCAGACTGTGAGTGCCGGCTCTGGCCAAGGTTTTGAGGCCAGTGAGCACCTTACCGAAGTGGTTAAGAAGCACCCCATTTCATTTGAGGTCCCCCATCCCACCATCAGCCTTCCCTCTGTATGGAATCATTCTCACCTCTGTGCCCCAAACCCACAGGCTTTCAGCCAAGAACCATTTCTCTGCTCATCTTCACAGCAAAACCCCACAAAGAATTGTCCAGATTTACTGTCTCCACTTCCTCAGCTCCACTCTGTCATGAACCCACTTCATTTGTGGCAGTCACCCCCTTCCCCCATGGTTTGACTGCACCTCATCTGTGCCATCCTATCATCTGGTCATAGATGGCTTCCCCACTGCAACCTCTGGTGGCCTATTCTCATTCTCACCTTAATTGGCTTATGGTACTGGCACTGGTTCCTCCCTCCCCCTTGGAGTACCTTCTTCCCCCTATTCCTCAGATACACTCTTTACCTTCCTCACCGCCCACCTGGGCTGCCCTGCAATGGTGGGTGTGCTGCACGCAGACCTCTTCTCTACCTACCCTCACTCCTTCTGTGTAGGGACACTCCAGCCCCATGGCTCCAAGTAACACCCGTATGCTCATGACACACACATTTACATTTTTGCCCAACAATTCCCCTGCCGTGATTCCAGATTCAAATCTCCTGGGATTTCTAATTAGCATATTTCAAATCAAGTTTCCCTCTCCCCAAGTCCACTTCCCCCTTATTTTCAGGAAATCACATCTTCTGCCCAGTTGCTCAGGCTAGAATCCTCCAAGTCACCCCTGACTCCTCCCTGTCAGCCACACCATGAGTGGCCAGATTCCATCTTCCTGGCTCTAACGGCACACATGTAAGCCTCCAGCTACTTCTCACTGACTTGACTGCTACTAGCAAATCCAGGCTGCCATCACTGTCTGCATGCACATCTCTGTAGTCTCCTCACAGTTGAGCCCCTGGTTCTGTCCACCTGCAGTCCCCCTATTCTTTACACAGCAGCCACAGTGATTTTTTTCAAGTCAAC